ATCAAAAAGTATATAAATATTATTTTGAATTTAAACATTTTTATCTATATTTTTTTAATAAATTTCATTCAATGATTCCAAAGAGTATATTGAAAACAATTGGTTCGCACAGTTCTCACGAAATTAATAGGCATATCCATACTAAAGTATCACCTTGAGAAGGTTCTGATTGTGATAGGAAATTTCATAATCAAACTTATGGCCAACGACGGTCTTAAATAGATGTCAAAAGCTGTAGCCATGGCTGAGTGGACAAGAATTAGAGGGGCCACTCGCTGAAATTGTTGCTTTCGGCTTAATGTTGGCTTGAAGGGACCTTGGGGGGTGTTAGAGATTAAGTTTAACTTTACTTGCTAAAATTCAAATCAATTGAATTCATCAACAGCTAGAACTGTTGAATAAATAGCTTAAATTAGATTATTATTTGTTATTGAATGAATAATAATAATCCATCCAACATCTTTTGGTGACAGCTGTTAGTTGTTGACACATCTTTTAGTTTTTTTCTTTTTTGAAAAAAGAAATGTTCTCATTTTATTTGTGGCACCATGCTTATACAGATTTTAATTTTGGTTAAAAAACATCAATCATGAATTGAATGCAAGAATTGAACAGAAAAGGACTTGTTTCTTTGGTTTCATGAAGTTACTTTTTTCAACATTAAACTTAATAATATTCATGTAAGGTTTTTATTATTATCTATGTCTACATTAACTTATTTTTCATCAATTTAAAAAGTCATTACTCAAATTCATATTTCATATAAAATAAGAAAATGTAAAAATAAAATTAACTAAATAATGGTGATATTTATCAGTACACTGTAACAATCTGTGTTTGAGCGTATGTTTGAAAGGGACAACGACAGTCCACATGACACTAAGAAACGAAAGTAGTCTTGGGAATCTTAAATTATGAATATAATTTAGTTATTCAACATTCTCTTTCCGTGGAATGACCAGACAAAGAACATTGAGGTGTTTTCTTTTAATCTTTTCGTCACTTTCGTGTTTGCCTCCGTTTAGCTCATCAGGGCATCAACATTTAACACCCATATGGGAAGACGACGTTGTTTACCTAACCCTCTTTCGTCATTTTTTTATTTTATCAAATACATTTAAAATAATTTTTTTTTACTTTAATCTCTTAATTATAAGTTCAATTACATTATTCTCGTACTTTAAAAATATTATTTTAATCTTGACTTCACAAAAATAATATTTATTTTAGTTTTTATATAAAAATAAAAAAATAAAACGGTCCAATATTAAAAAATTAAAATAAATATTTTGTAAAGTAAAAAACTTCATGTTATCAATACTTATAATTTAAAAAAATAAAATGAACATATATTCTATTTGAAAATATTTTAACTGCATATATGCAAATAATAAGTATAAAATGGTTTTTACCTTAAACTGAATTTTATAGTGATTTCAGGTCCTAAGATCCACAGAATTCTTCTATCTGCTAACTAGAAAACAATTCAAATTAAGAAGAAAAGAAAAGGAAAATAAAGAAAAAGGTAAGATTCAAATCTAATAAAACGGAAGCATTGCTTTTTTATTGGTGACCAATCACATTGGAGGGAGCTTTTTGTGCCAAGGGTGATTCTGTCATTTAGCTCTAAGGATTATTCTTTAAAGCAGTGTTACTGTTTAAGATGATTTGAAATGAAGAAATGGTAGAGAATAGAAAGGTCCACTTGAAGGGTGACGCCAATTATCAAATTCAAAGAAAGGAAGGAGTTTAGGGGGGCCCATATGTCTTCTACTTTATTTTGAGTCACGTCTACCAAAGCTCGTATTTGTAGAGGCATCACGCTCCCACTTAATTGGTTTAATAGTGCATATATTAATCGTTGCCCTATCTATTGTACTTATAGTTATAATCCTATACGTATAAAATAATCTTCCACTATTTTTATGGAAGTGTTCTACTAATCGATTATGCCACGTTAGGTCTAATCTATTTTTGTACCCCTCCTAATCAAATTATGAGATCTTTCACCTGTTTTAAGGATGAATTGTATTCCCAGAAAAAGAGATAAAATATAAAATTATATCCTAGAATAAATTACACTGCTTTTTATTGGACAATATCATGATTACAGCATACATATACATGCCCATGCGTGCAGGTGTGTTGAAATGTTAAAAAAAAAAAATCAATAGAGTTTCAAGATTTATAATAGTAAATAATACATTATACCAATATTTGATGTATTAATAATATAAATATTTTTATTAATAGAACTAGTAATTTATTAGTATAATATATAGTACAAATCTTTAGAGTTAATATTAGTGATTTATTAGCATTGACATTTTATATTATTAATAACGAAATTTTTTAGTAAAATTTCGAAAAGGTAAAATCTAAAATGATATATAAATTTATGAAACGCAATGTCTATAAAATTTTTATGTTAATGAGCAATCTCTTTGGTCTTTTTAAAAAGGAAATAAACTGTCTCCATGGAACTGTGACATTGTCCATAAAAAAATGGTATATAAATAATACAAGTTTAATTGGCAGCTTTAACTTTACTGAAGATATTGGCTTCCGTTTTAATGCATCTTGACTTTGTGAATTGTGAGTTGAAGTTGGGTTTCACTTTACTTGTTCATGGCAAAGCAAAAACATCTTAAACTGTGTCGGGGAACATTTGAAGGACATTATTGACGGAGAGAGACTATGATGACTTGACTAGCATTTTACATAATATTATAGCATGTAGATATAAAATGATTGAATATTGGGGCCATTTAACATTAAAATCTACTGTGAATAATGAAATCTCTTGGTCAACCATGACCGTTCGTGAGTGGAATACCACTTTCATGGATTCTCAAAAATAACTTTATTTATATATAAAAATATAAAATAAAAACGTGCAAGTGGCATCCTATAATAAATAGTTATTTAATTTATGACCATTAACTCCATTGTCGTCCAGCGGTTAGGATGTCTGGCTTTCACCCAGGAGACCCGGGTTCGATTCCCGGCAATGGAAAATTTTTAATTATTTATTGTTTTTGTGATATTACTTCCAGTTTTTCGAATTTATAAGCTAACTGTTTACTAACACTGCGTTATTAAAAAAATATTTTTTTTTGTTTTTAAAATAATTATAGTATATATAATAATTAAATTAAATTAATTATGATAGATAATTATCCTTGTTATCTTTTCAATTTAGGGTAAAACTTAATCCTTAATCCCGTTGTAGAAACTTTTTGTTAGCATGGACATTACGGAAGATTGAAGCCTACTTCCTTTTGTTTAATCGAAGTAGTCTCTTATGTATAGTGCTTAAGAAGAACTAAAGCTAATTCCTCTTTCATGTCAGCTTTATATTAATAGGATTTTACTGGAAAGGTAGCTATAGTCATGTGATTGGTTCACATTCAACACATGGGTTGATTCAAGAAGTCTTTATATGTAAATAAGTTTAATATTATTAGTCTAATAATTCAATAATAGCATGTATTATTAAAAGACACGTGTCATTGCATTATTGGACTAACAAAGAAGGTTTAAAAACCTTTTCAAATTTTGGACTACCATAGAAAATACTTACTTTTAAGAAATTATAAATAACAAAGATTTATTTGTAAATATATTAATTGTTAAATTATTTTTATACAATTATTTATTATAAAATTTGTGATATTTAATTATTACTTATATAAATGGATATATTCATTTATTTAATATATGAGTCATTCATTTAATTATTTAACGTTATAGGTAATTTTAGAATATAATATAAATTTATAATATAATTATTTTTTTTATCAATTTTGATTAATTAATTATCTATTTTTTATAAAATTACATTACAGGAAGATTCAAATGTTTGAAATTGAGTATAATTTTTTTATATTTTAAAATGTAAAGCTTATTACTTTTAAATAAATATGAATTTTTAATCTACCTGAAAAATTATTTATTTAGGTTTTTAAGATAGTCGAGAGGAGAAAATTAACTATAAATTAATTATTATTTTAATACAATACGTTAACATTTATATTTATGAAAATCAAATGTAAAAACATGAGAACTGTTTTGTATTAACAATCAAATAAGATAAGGAGTTTAAGTAGTTCGAATGAGAATATATTTTCAAAATGCATTGTCACCATTTTATTAAAAACATTAAGTAATAACAATTGAGAAAAAATATATATAAAACTCTAAGAGATGATACTAATAGTGTATGGTTTAGGGAAGAATTGATTGAGAAGAAAGAGGCAATTAATGAAAACTTGTATTTTATGTTGACTAAGAGAAGATAGTTATAAAAGAAGATAATATAAATGTTTAGCATTCTATTTGGATATATAACTCAACTAACTAAACTAGCAGCTAATTGGACTATTTAAAATAAGAGTAAATCTATAAATTAATACTTCACATGGGCACAATCTTGCATATTTGTCTTTTATTTATTTAAATTATCTCATTAGTCTCTCACATAATTATTAATCAAATTAGCTCTTTTATGTTAACTAATGGTTAAATAATATTAATTTTTATTATTAAATGACATGTGAACGTTAAAATGATGTTGTACATTAAATTAAGAACTAATCTAATCAATTTTACATCATCATTGCTGCTCTTATCTCCAATGTTCCCTCCCCATCCATGGTGTTCTTAACTAGCCCCACCAATTCCTATGTTAATCTTTCCCGCTGTTTGGCTTCATGATAGAACAAACTACATTGTTGGATATCAACGTCCTTGTTACACACATTAGCTATGCTGATGAGAGTATAATTCCTCGTTACTCAATTGACTAATGTTTAAGGTTTTTTTTTTTTTTTTTGCTTTATTTTCTTGGTCATATTTTGCACAATGCTTCTTAGATCCTGCAATGGTTAACCCCGATACATCGACAGATCATCACACTTTCCAAAGTTGAGTTGAATTCTGTAAAATCCATGTTTACCAGAAGCATCATAGTATTTAAGCTATGACAAAGAAAGTTCTTGCACTTGAGAAGTTTTTTTTCAGTTCACAAGCTCAACATTTGGTTACACCTAAAGGGAAAATCACACTAGAATGTAAATATGCATGGAAAAAATTAGAGAAATATGAAAGATAGTAATAGCACGAAGTGAGGTGATTGGAAAACAGCCAGATACACTTACAAGTGCCAATTGTCTGAAGGAGAAAATTCAGAGTGCGAACAATATAACTTGGTTGATTAACGAAAAGAAAGATTTGTGTATAAAAGATGTACAAGTATGCAGAACAGAACAGTGATCAGTCTATTCTTCTTGTCATTTTCCTCTATCTTGAGTATCCTTTACCTGGTTTTTTGAACACAATGTGTGCTGATAAGTGATAACTACTACCAACTTCTTGAAACTCAAAACTTAATGAAGAATTTGTTTTCGATTGGCTTTACAAAATCATATATGTTCAACAGTTTGGAGAGACACTTCAGGAGTGATCATGGTCAACCAATCCAATAAAGCCTTGTTCACAAGCTCTGGTATCTCGTCATGTGGACAATGCCCAGCCTGCAAATTTACAAGAGTTGTTTTTGGATAGAACTCTTTGATTCGATTGGCTTTGGCTGGACCAACCCAAGGGTCAAGGTCACCCCAGAGCAACAGCAATGGGCAAGAAAGTTCACTCAAGACAGAATCTAGAGTGTACTTGCTCTGATTCATCATGAAGCGTGTCATTAACCTGTAGACAACATTGGGTAAAACCACAATGAAGACTGATTTGTTGGATTAGAGCACGGCATCCCCTTTGTTTACCAACATATTTTCTATAGGTTAGCATGGGAAAGCATGCTTCTAACCCATATATACCAGGATGGAAGCCAAAATAGAAATTCATAGCACATAAAAGTTTGATTAGGAAGGGCAATTCATGTACCTGTAATAAACTTCTCCGGCGTTGGGGTCTTGAGCTGGTCTTGTTATAGATTCTACAAGATAGTCATCCACATTGGAAGAGTTTATATACACCTGTATTGCCAAACTAATTCAAACATATTGCCATAGAACAGTATTTGATGGGCAAACCAACTAGTACGAAAATAAAAAGTAGAACCAATTTGCAGAAAGGGAATAAGCAGCCCCACCAAAGACAAGCCTCCAAGAATATGATTCTTAATATAAAATATCCTACTCCTACGGTAATAAAAATATGCTTTTATGAGTTGAAGATAGCAAGTTACATACACTTTTTAGGACTGATACAATCCGAGCGGGTTGCTTTGCCTGCCAAAATAAAAATCCAAGAACTACGCGCTGGAAAACTTCCCTCAAAGGTTTTAGGAGAAACTTTTGTAGAGGTGTTTCTTCAGAAGTTTTACTTTCCTTTTTCGCATCACCAAATTGTCCAGCTGAATTTAGTAGTGCAACACCATTGACAAGCTCAGGCAACCCAGTTGCTGCAACCAAAGCAGTAAATCCTCCAAGGCTGAAAAATTTTCATGATTGAGATATCATATTTTTATTTTATATTGCACAACCCTAAACTCTAAAAATGACAATTCCAAGGTTGTCGAATCATAATTCAAATATTGAATCATCAAGCAAATTTTTGAATTGTGAATCATGAATCATATCAAATCATAAAATTCAGAGAGACAACAAAACAGCTTGAAACATATTATCTAAATTATGTATAGTACTTATTTAATAATTTTAATCATAACTTTTAGGAGTTATGATAATTTTGTAGACATTTTTTCAGTTAATGAAATATGTGTTCCTAAGGGAAAATAACATAATTACTAGTACATGCCTTGAAAGAGAGGCACTAAACTAGAATATGAGAGACACAAGAGAGTACATTCTTAGAATTAGGGGAAAATCACACATGAAAAACAATCACTAAAACTTTTGGAATGAAGAAGAGTCTGACATTTCAGCCTAATACCTTGATGTGAATCCAGGTAATTTAGTTCTTACCTATTTCCAACCAAAACTGCTGGTTCTTTTACTATTTCCTTCAAGAAGTCCACTACTTGATCCCTCCACACCATGGCATCATACTCGATAAGTGCTTTGTCACTCCACCCAAATCCAAGCAAGTCTAGGGCATAGACCTTGTGTTTCTTAGCCAGTTCTGGGATGTTGTACCTGGACACATGTAAATATAGATATAAGATTAACTCCACCAATAAAAAAGAACTTATCAGACTGACAATTGAAGCCACTAAGAAGCATTGAATTCAAATCAAAATTGCATACAACGAAAAGACATAACAGAACCACTCAAGCTTTCTTATCTTACAAGAAGGAGCTATAGTACCATTAACATTTTGTGGCAGTATTACACAATATTTGTTAACACATTACATGTTATATCGGCACAGTTTTTATGAGGATAAAATAAAAACAGCTAATCTAAACAGCTCATAAAAATGGGCACACTTATTTAATTTTTCAGCTCTTCAGATTTTTATATTGAGTAAACTCCTAAATTGTTCCCTAAGAAGGTTAAGGTTAAGCATTTTAGTCTCTAAGAATTTAAAATACTTTCGATAGTCCTAAAATTACCTTTTGCCCATCAATTTAGTCCTTAAGGCTATCCACTATTAGAAGACTGCAATAGAATGTTAAAATGTCACGTTATGTGACATATATAAATGCTTATGCTGCAAAAATGACATTGTGTATGATGGCTTCAAGAACTATTTTGATGGACAGAGAGCAATCTTAGAGACCATTGAAAACATTTTAAATTCTCAGAAACAAAAACGTCTGACCATAACAATTTCAAAGACTAATTTAGAGGTATAAAAATACTAATATTTTATTCAGTATATTTCTTTTCTTCATTTTGGTCTCACATATTCTTAAAATCTTTCATTTACTTATTTCTCTTCTTCTTCAATCCTCCTTAGCACTACCCATTGCCTCCAGTCATCCATGCACCACTAACTTTCATCCTTTTTCCTCTCCAACATCTTTGATTATGTCTTGGTGAGAACAAAACTACATCGTTATTCTTTTTCTTTCTCTTCTCTTCAAACAAGATCTAATCAACATTCACACAACCAAATAGGGAGTCTCTCTATCATTAGTGATGAGAAAGATTCAATTTTGAACTAAAAAATGTAAAAAACCCACGTTCTTTAAAATAAGGGTACCAACATATGAATAATTTTATATGGACACCAAAACACAATGCAATAGAAAATTAGTTTAGAATAACCAAAATCGAATTAGCATTGAAGAGATGGCCTCAATGACTAGAAGTGATGATTTGTGTTGAAGTTATTAGACTATAGAAGTTTGACAGACTGGTGATAATGCACAATGATGGTGATATAGTTGATAAAGGGGAAAGTATTTCTATTGAGATTGCAAGATGAGCACGGTAATGAAAGTCTATGAAGGTGTAGTTGAGTGGAGGTTGAACCCATGGGGTGGCGAGGTTGATTTCTTGCAACGATAGTTTCTGATGATAATAGTGTTAAAGAAGAATAAAGAAAAAGATGGACGAAGAGATGAAAGATTTTAAGAATCTCCGAGACTAAAATAAAGGAAAAACATAATAAAATAAAACCATATACCACTGTTTTTGCCACTTGATCAATCATACACATAATCAACATTCTATTACTGTTTCCTAAAGGCAAATGGCATCAAAGATTAAATTGATAGACAAAAGACAATCTCAGGAACTATCTAAGACATTTTAAATTCTCAATGACAAAAACACTTGACCCTAACAATTTTAGGGACTAATTTGGGATTTACTCGTTTTTTATTTGGCAAATTTAAGCAATAAAACAATGAAACTAGAAATACACCAAAAAAAGAGAGGGTACAATTTTGCTCCCCATAGTTTACCTCAATTTTTATTTCGGTCCATGTACTTTAAATGTTTGGTTTTTTGTGCATATACTTTGATCCCATTTAGGTTTTGGTCCTGACCAGTAGCAATATGCCAACCACGACCAAACCAAAGTTTTAAAGCATAAGGACCAAAACTAAATAAAATCAAGGAACCAAAAAAGAAAAGAAAAGAAAAGAAACCTCCAGTGGAATGCAGAGGCCCCAAAACCATGAATAAGCACAATGGGAGAGCCTTCTCCTTGCACTACGTAGTGAATTTTATGACCCCTCCACGTCCAATAATTGTACCCTTCTGGTTTGTACGGTAATCTTTGAAACTCCTTCTCTGTGCACGTAAGCATAAACCAAAATTCAACATAAACCACAGACTCGAATGTGAGGAAGCATTGACTAACCTTGCGAAGATGGTTCTGCTTCTGCGGTCATAGTAGAAGCAACGACCGAAACTCCTGAAGCAACGATTCCTTTAACCGCAAAAGTCCTTCTGTTCATTTCGCATTTGCTTCCTTCAAACAACACCAAAACTCAGCAACAAAATAATAACAATAATAAAAGATGCAGTGTTACAGAGACTGACGTTGACAGAAAGAGAGTGGAGGAAGGAGGGTGGTTTTAGTGAGTTGGAATCGAACAGAAGGCAAGAGAGCAGAAACAGAAGAAGCCATTGATTTATTCAAACTAAACAATGTTGTGTTTAAGTTGAAGGTTGTAATTGGGAGTTTTGAGTTTTGAGTTTTGTGTTTTGTGGGGTGGGTGAAGTTTGAGTGTTGTGGCAGACTCCGAACCAGAAACGCGCGCCGCCCAGATCAGCTTATTCCTCTCTTTCTTTCTACAGACCCTGCATTGTCGTTTCCCAGTCTATCGGAAGGATTTTCTTGGTTCTTTTTCATTTTTACGACAAATTTTAAACAGAGATTGTGATTTTAGTTTATTTTTACTTTTATTTAATTATTTATAATTTTTATCGTTTTTTTTCCCTCTTATTTACCTGCGCTGGAGTTAATTTTTTTGTAAAATATCTTATTATTATAAAATTATATATATATATATATATATATATAATAATAACAATAATAATAATCAATTTATATATTTAAAATATATATTTTATTTCATGCTTTTGATTATTATTTTACACGTAAGATTACATATATATATAGGAATTTTATTTGCCAAAAATATGATTTTATTTTTTTAAAAATTCAAAATTTTGAATAATCTTAGTCATTCTCGTTTTAATTACACATAAAAATATAGTATCGTATCAGTTTATTTAATAAAAATAACATATGTTTAAAAAATATTATTTTTAAAAAAATAATAATATTAAGATATGATTAAAACTGACTTGTAAATTAAAAAATAATTTATATTAAACTATATAAATTATGAATCATAAAATAAATTTAATATAAAGTTTCGGTCAATAACATGGTATGAATTAATAAAGAATATAAATTATAAAATAATAAAAATGAAAAGTAAAAATTAAGAACATGTTTATTTTTATTTTTAAAGTTTTTTTTAAAAAAACAACTTTGATTGTTGTTTTTACTTTTGTTATTAATTTCAAATCAAATTAACTTACCGATATATATATATATATATATATATATATATATTGATTGTTGTTTACATAATTTTGATTATTTGTTTTCTTTTATTTTTGTAAAAATTTAAATTATGTATAATAACAATTAATATTATCCTATTAAATGAAGTCAATTGCATAGATCACATCACGTTATTAAAAATTAATATTTTAAAATTTTGATTAATCATAATGTATTTTTAATGACATTATTTAAAATTCGTTTGAATTTGTCTTGACTTTTTTTCCTATATTACAAGTGATATGCAATTTTTTTTTTTCAATAGTGCCTTAAAAGATCTTTTGTGACGTTCTAAATTTTTATTACCTTTATTTTTTTAAAAAAAGATGAAATTTAGTGTAGAATTTTTCCTTCAAGTGAAATATATCTTACTCAAGTAAGATTTATTTTTTTGAACCAGACATTCTGGAGCGTTCTTATTCAAGTGAGTTGAGTCTTGCTCAAGTGAAAAATGATAATATCGTTCCAATTGTCTTCTCGCTCAGGCGAAATGGAGCTTGTTTAGGCAAACTTGTAGAAAAAATAGAGAATTATATGGACTCATTCTCATTTAGGCAAGAATATCTATTGCTCAAGTGAGAATATCTCTCACTTAGGCAATAATATTAAAAAAGTGGGTAAAACTATTATCTGATTTTTCTCGCTCAGGCGAGAATCGACCTCACTCAAGTGAGAACACATAAGTTTTGAGTGATATTTAAGAAACTTTCATTCTAGAAACCTTTATTTAGAATCAAACAACATTCCCTCTCATTTTTCTCAGTTCTCTCACATTCTCTTTCTAGAAAAAACTCTCTCGAATCCTAAACTTCTTCCAAATTCAAGTTTAAACGTCTATTCCATTCAGATCTTAAGTAAGTTTATCGGAGGTTAGCACTCTAACTTCACTCATTTTTTTTTTCAAAAGATTTATACTTTGTAATATTTAATGGAATTTTAGTCTTTCGAACAAAATCTTCAATAAAAAACGTAATACACAAAGGTTTTAACAATTTAAAGCATGTTAAAGTAGAGATACTATACAATAATGCTTGCATTAATATGATAATTTTGATGAGAAGGTTTTTAATTAAATTAATAAATAAATTAATTTTTATAAATTATAAGATTAATATTTAAAAGAAAAATATATACTTTAATAAAATAAATATTTAATTAATTAAAAATAAAACATGATTTAATTTTAAAGAATAAAATGTAATTAATTAAAATAAAATTTAATCAATTAATTTTAAAAATAAGAATTAACTTTTTGAGTATACTAATATTGCAAAAGACTTAAAGTAACGTGGATACAAATGTCTCAATTATTTATAATGTATGTCAATAAAAAAAATTATTTATTAGCATTATAAATTATTTCATGTTTTAATTATTTTATAGAAATTTAAAAGGGAATATAACTTATTAGATATAAAATAAAGAAACAATAAATTTAAACCAAATTGTGTCACTAAAAAAAATTATAAAGACAACAGCATAATTAAATGAATAAAATACAATGAAAATATAGTGATAATTTTTTGTCTTTAATACTACTTCTGTTATTATTATATTATTATGATTATTATTATTATTATTATTGTTTGAAGAAAATGAAAGTTCTCCAGATTGAAAATATAAAATGCAAGCTCAACAGGAAATGAAAAGGTTTTAATATTACATTCCTATAATGAATATTTTTCTTTGCTACAGTTAAATTAAAATATATAAGACATAAGGTGAACTAGGAGTGTGTGGTTCGGTGTGTTGAACCAATATTCATATTAGAATAAATATTAAAAAGAAGAAGCATGTCAAATCAGTTCAGAAACACGGTTGCATATTTGAATCTACGAAAATCGACTTGTAAAATCAATACTTCACGGACATCAAAATACTAGAGCTGAAAAGGGATTCAGTTGTGTCTTTTTTTCCCATTCAAAATATAACGCGTTTAAAGGATAAATTTTGGTGCACAACTCGTTAGAGATAACGTGAAAGAGAGAGGAAATTAAAAGAAAAAAAAGAGGTTTACACCAGCGAAGATGGAGTTCGTGGCCATGGCAAAGGTTGTCATTATGCAATAAGTTTCTTTCTTTCATTTTTCATTTATTATTTTTTAATCTTTTTTTCCTTCTGTTCTTCTTTTCTTGTTTATTCTTCTCCCCATTTCATCCCATACCTCTATGTCGTTATTTTTTTCTGTTATTTCTTTTTCCTTTTTCATTGTATTTGAATATTAAGAAATTGAGATAAAATGAACCACTTAGTTTTGAGTTTACTTTCCAATTTTTGTGTCATTCTTCCTTCAAGTTGCTCAAGTTATTTTTTACTTTTTGCTTGTTTTGATCTTTTTGTGTGTCTCTATTTTCTATTTTCTTCTTTTTTTAAATTTTTTTTTTGTTATTCTCTCAAAAAATTTTGGTCTAAAAATTTTACTTTCCTTTCTCAAATCTTTTAATTGTGTATTAATACTGGTCTTCATTTTTACTTTTAGGATTTCATATAAGAATAATACTCTTGAGTTTTTTTTCCTTCTTAAGCTTAAATCTTACTCTAAGTAGTTAGTATAAACATGCACAATGCAGAATCTCCCTTTCTATAGTCAAATTAATTTTTCAATGTTTTCTACTTTTCTGTTAAAATAATTTTATTATTTTTAATATATTTTTTAAAAATATTTGAGAGCAACAAAAAATTGGTATTCACAACTACCTAATTTCTTTTAAAATTCTTAACAAATCTTTAGCTGATAATATTAATAGGATAATTTCTATAAATAACATTAAAGCTGCTTGTTTAGTCTGAGAAATTACATATCCTCAGATCTAAATGTGATTTACTCTATTTTCATATTTTTAAATTTATTAATAATAAATTTTTAATCCTTATAAAATTGTAGCAATAAATCAAACTATTTTAACTTCAATCCTAAAATGTTTACATCTTAAAAATATATATGAGTTTAGACCTATTTTGTTATGTAATATTATCCATAAGATTGTTATTAAAATATTAGCTAATATGATTAAAAATCATCTTACCTATCTAATTTCTAGAAATCAGTGTAGCATTATACCAAGGATGCAAGGAATACATAATTTAAGTTGTTTTGCAGAAATTAGTTTACTCTTTTAAAATAAAAAATAGTGTGAGATTTTAAAACTTGATCTTCACTAAGCTTATGATATTAGATGAAATTTTATTAGAAAAACTTTATAAAAAGTTGAATTTGGTAAATCTTAGTCTGATTTAGCTTTTGGGTGCTTATTTCCCTACTTTCCAAATAAATTTTAACGGTGAATTGCTAGATAGATTTATGTTCGTCAGATATATTCGTCCAAGAGATCATTAATCTCCATATATTTTTGTCTTTTCCTAAAAAATATTAGCTTATCACATCCAATTTAAAGTTAATTATTGTGTTTGGTGACCTTTTAAGTTTGAGAAAGATGAGCCTAACATTTTTTTTTATATCTATTTTATGCTTATGATTTGATTCTTGTGGTCGAGGCTTCTATAGACCAAGTTCAAATAATCCAATCAGTAATGAATTTATTTTGTAATGCTTTAAGAGAAGAGATTTCTAAAGAAAAAATATTTAGTCTATTTGTCAACTAACATATATCTTGAGAAGAAGAATATTCTAAACCAACATTTATGTATAAAATGGTATGAACATTTGAATTGTTATTTAGGTACTCCTATTGTTAGCAAAAAATCTAAGAAAAATCTATTTTCAAACTTAATTGACAAAAATAGAAGGAAAAAAACTTTATAATTAAAAAATAAATTCTATTTATTTTGTTGGTAGAGTCACTCTATCTCAGGTTAGTGTAATGAGTATTTTTAAATTATATTATGTAAATTTAGATTATTCCCTTGGAACTCTATGAGGATTAATATAATTTGTAGAAATTTTATTTAAGATTCACCCTCTTTAATAAGAAATGTCACTTATTATCGTGAAACAAGTTGTGTCTTTCAAAAGAATAGGAAGGACTTGATTTTAGAGACATTAATCAAACTAATCTAACTTATATGGTTAAATTGGGATAGTCTTTGATAAATAATTCCTATAATCTTTGGATTCAGGTTTTGACAACCAAATATATATATAAGAATCATGTTTGTTCTTCCTTACGTTAATATATTGTATAATTTTTTTTAAATAGGTCTTTTTTAGGCTATTAGGGATGAGCTAAGCACTAAATTTCTTGAAAGGCTTTTAGATTCTTAGGATTCACAATCTGTTTGATATTCTTACTTT